TCGTTAGATTACTCTAAACGTTTGTAAACCTGTAAAATGAGGGAAAATCTGTGTCAAAACAGACATTCTGTTCACTTGAGCAGTTTTCAGCACCTGTCATCCTCCAGACACACGACGGAGCGTGTCTGAACCGATCTCTTTTTTTGACATTGATCAGCTGACGGATGTAAGTACATCTTAACATTCATGAGGTACTTTYCATTGACTGTTTATGGTTGAGTGTGGGCGTGTAGAGGGTAGAACCTGAGMCGGCCTTGTGTATAAACTCTGAGGTGCAGCTGTGATCTATWAAGGAAAGGTGCGCAGAAATGTTCGAACGCACGGTTTTATAAATCAGTTTTTTTTTTTTGGCGTACGTCATTTTCGTCTTTTGGCCGTACGTTCACTTTTAGTATGGTTTCCACGCAATCTTTTATAAATCTGACCCCAGATGTTTACTTTGTTGCTGCTGATGGCCTGATCCCAAAAGGTGGTTCTAGTCCCAACCAGTGGTTTTTGCTCTCCTACCTGACTGCCWCAGGACACTACAGGATTTCTCAAACATGCATGAATGAGTCAAAGTAAGACTCTGGGCATGTTWTTGATGAGAGGATAARATTATAACATGAWATAAAAKTCAAAGTTGATTTTACATGATATTGCCCCTTTAAAGCTTCTAACTGGAACTGTCCCTGTCGTAACAGTCTACTGTCTGTGTGCCTCCTCAGATGTGCCYATCTCCTTTGAAGCTGATGGCAGCAACAAAGTGATCCTGCTGACCTCTGGGCAGCTGTCCTGCTGCGTGTCCTGGGGGATCGGGGAGGATAATACACCGCTCGCACCTCCCGTCTCCCAACAGCCGGGTGGTGTACGCAGGTAGTCTGTCTGAGAGAATGAGCTACTGACTTTGGGTGATTTAAAGGTTTTAAAGAGGGGTTTCCAAGGTGGGGTCACTGCTCCCTGTAAGGAGCACCAAAAGATCACACGGGTGAACAGTGGTTCTGCTGTACGGATTTGTATAAAGTCAAAGTACAAATTTCTTGAAGGACTTTGTGAGTTTGTGTTGCCTGCAGCTTTTTATGCCAGAGTGAGTTTCAAAGAAAAGATCATCTTTTTGCTGAAAAATGATAAAGTTATGGATGTTTTGGTCAAATTTAACATTTAGTTGTGAAGGTCGTCTTGAAAAGTCAGTTTTAGACATGTGTCCAACTTTTTGGGAGGTTTGTTAAAATGTAAAAACTGTCATGTGTAGCATTGAAGTTTGTGTTAGAATYATTCATTCCTACGCTGACGACATTCAAATTTATTTCCCTTTTAAACCAATGCCCCACTACAGCCTCTTCTGAACCGTCTCCAAGGTGTCAAAGACTTGTTATCCCATAACTCTCTGACTTTAAACAAGGCTGAAGTTATTGTATTTGGTAATCGTTCTTCTCTTTATTCGTTTCCTGTGGTTCTAGGCCCACTTGCTCCATATTGTTCCTCTGTAGTCAAGAATCGTTGAGTGTTTTTAGATGGTGCTTTTAAATTTGAGAAAATATCTTCAGTTGTTAAAACCAGTTTTTAGCAGCTACATTTAATTGCCAAAGCAAAATGTTACGTRCCCCCAAATAACCTTTAAACTCTTATCAATGTCTTCATCACCACTAGACTGGACTATTGGAACTCTTTATATGTTGGTCCAGAACGCTGCTGCTGGTCTTTTAACAGGAACCAGAAAGCATGATCTTGTTTTAACTGACTTTCACTGGCTGCCTGTTGGTTTTCTCATTGATTTTAAAATATTTTACTTGCTTTTAAGGTTTTAAATTTTTTCACTCAGTTACCGTATTTATTGGCTCTTTTGCACTTTTATAACCTGATTAGAGCACTGAGATCCTCTAATCAGATGTTTCTAGTGCAGCCGAGGGCAAAACTAAAGCATAGAGGGGACCYGGCTTTTCCTGTGGTGGCCCCCAGGCTCTGGAATAACTTGACTCTTGAGATTCTTGAGATTCATACTGCATGCTGCCTGTTCATTCTTTTAAATCCTGCTTGAAAACTGACTTTTTTACACTGGCTTTTAGTTCAAATTCAGTTTGAGTTGCATCAGGAATTTTGAATTGTGTCTTTTTATTTGTTTTTAGTCTTTTATTTTATTCATGGTTTTAATTGTATGTTTGTGAAACACTTTGGTCACTTTGTTTTTAAATGTCCTATGTAAAAAAATTAAGTGATTGATTGATAATTACACACCAGTTATTATGTCAGTCTCTGTAACTTTTATACAAGTGAACAAAATTGTTGGTATCCTTCATTTAATGAAAGAGAAACCCACAATAGTCACAGAAATTACTAGAATCTGACAAAAGTAATAATAAATAAAAATTC